AAAAAACATAAATTAATAAAATAGAATTTTTAGATCACATATCATACTCATATTCATATTTAATCCATATTCCAGCAGGAAAGACAGACCATATAGGTAAAACGCAACATTTGAGGAGATAAGGACTGATAATTTTCCAAAACTGATGAGAAACATAAAATCACAGGTAGAGAAAGTACACAAGAATAATGTATACAAATCTCACATATGAGTAAGGATTTTTAAAAAGCCTAGATAGGCTTGAACTGCATACTGTTTATATAGATGGTCATTATCATTGTTATATCATAATCATGTTGGATCTATTTCAGAGATTCAAAGGTGGTTTTATATTAGAAACTGTCTCTATATAATTCACAGCATTAATAGATTCAAGGAGAAAAATTGTTATTACCTCGATAAATGTCAAAAAGCTTTTTATAGAGCTTGGCATCTCCTTATGATAAATTGTCTTAGTAATTTAGAAATAGGAAGGTAAATCCTGAAGCTAACCCAAACTAATAGTAAAGAATATTCTTAATAACAAAACATTAAGTAAATTTCCATTAAAATCAGGAATCAGACAATAACAATTACTTCTATTCAACTATTCACAGACTTTTGATCCACTACACAGAATAATCTAAAGAATCTAAGGCAATTAATCATGTTTTTAGTAGAGTTTAATAGGTAGCTGGAAATAAGCAAAAAACAAAAAATCAAATGGATTACTGTACACTTGCAACAAAACAGTTGGAGACTATAACCTTTGAAAAGTATACTGATAACTACAACAAAAATAGAGGTACTTAACTAAAAATGTGTAAAACTTTTTTTGAAGAAACTTTTGAAACTTAGCAGAAAGATTGAAATAGTCAAACAAATTGAGATATGTCATGTTGGTTTCTAATGAAAATCAATATCTTAAAATTTTCCATTGTCAATCCAATCACCTTTGAGTTATAGAATCTAATAGAATCAATGCATTTCTAATCAAATTATAAGAATTTTTTTGAAAAACTTGATAAACTAATTCTAAAATTCATATGAAAAATAAATGTCCAGACCAATGCAGGCAGGGGAGCAGCGAGGTAGTGAGAGAGGCTGGGAGCTAAGAAGCTGGGCTGAATTAGAGGGATAGTCAGTAGGGCTTCACATTGGTTCTGGATCCACCTACTGATCCCATCATCCTCCAGGCTCTGCTGCTCAGTCTGCTCTATATTCTTCTCATTTGTGGTGATTTGTTTTTCAGGGCTCCATTATTTCCTCAACCAGTTCAGGACAATAGGGACTCAGTTCATTGGATAGATCTCTATATACCTGAAATCTATACCTACCATAGGGTTTTTGGGCCCTGTGACAACTACTGAATCTGTTTTAGTGGCCCTGACCATTCTACGACTCTGGGAAGATCTGAATCATTATGTGATAATACACAGAGGATTTTAAGGATTGATGTGATCAAATTCCACAAATCAACCTAATAGTGTCCCATCTCTGACCTGGCTCCAAATAATACACATTTGATCTCATTAAAAGAAAATGAGGGGGAGGGGCAGGAAGAAGACACTAAAAAAATATTAATTTTGATCATATAAGGAGATGAGGTTGTGGATGACTTTTACTATCATTTTATACTGTTTAAAAAACTTCTAAAATTTGAAAACTATTAATTTATTAATTTTATATTGAAAAAACAAAACAAAAAACAAGCCATGAAAGAAATAATTAGAAAACAACAACAAGCACTCAAACATTGCCCTGCTGACACGGCTCAGTGGTTGAGTATCAACCTATGAACCAGGAGGTCACGACTTATTCCCAGTCAGGTTATATGCCCAAGTTGTGGGCTTGATCCCCAAGGTGGAGTATGTAGAAGGCAGCCGATCAATGATTCTCTTTCATTATTGATGTTTCTATCTCTCTTCCTTTCCTTTCCTCTCTGAAATCAATAAAAATATATTAAAAAACCCACCCCAACATTAATAACCTATTATGTCCCTAGAAGTTTTCCCAGCATTTTTTGGTGGTTACTACTGTTAGAAACATAAAACAATACCTTCTGTTTAGAATTTTTCATTATAACAGGAGCATCCATTAATAGGTATTTCAACTTTGAATCTCATTTGGGATATTTATATTGATTTTTAAGCAAGTAAATTTTTGTTCTTATTAAGCTTTCACATTCTAAGTTTTTTAAAAGTTACTTATTGTCATTTTTCTCTCCACATCGGTCTCATTACCTTGTCACACAAATGAATCACCTAATAGTAATCTCCTGGGTGTCAACATCTAGCTGTAGAATAGAATTTAATCCTCTTTCTTTCATATTACATTATTTCCAGAGGCCTCTTATCATAGAAAATTCTCTTATTTTTTCATTAAAGGTTGTATTGTCAGAGAAATAATAGTCCCACACATATGACTAATAAAAGCCAGACATTTGGTTAAAAGTGAATAACATTAGGAATGTGAAGTTCCATAATTATACTTCCCCCACTCCTCCAAATAAGTGTGTATTATCACATTAAGTACCCTGGGGTAACTGAAAAAAAATTAAAAAGAGACTGCTTTGTGATCATTATGGAATATTGGGAGTTCAAAAGTAAAAAATAAATGTTTCTGCTCAGATGATTTCTTAGATACCATAAAGTGTAAGATAAAAAAAATATTTTAAATTTACTTTTAGTAAGTCTATTTTCAAAAAAATAAATATTCATCTCTGTTTCCAAATATTTCTCTCTGTATAAAAGCCTAATATGCAAAGTGTCCCCTCTGGAGTTTGACCTACCAGTTCACTCACTTGCTTTGATGTGTGCTGACCACCAGGGGGTGGCGCGGAACAAAGGAAGGCCCCGGCTGGCAGCCAGCAGCTGCTAGGGACCCTACCCATACACGAATTTCATGCACTGGGCCTCTAGTTTATAATAAAAGATTTGTTCACAAACTATACAATGAAAGGCTTGCAAAATGACATACCTGACGTGTTTATTATAGAATATTGTGCATGAAGTTCTCTCAAAAACCTTACAAAAGAGATGAGAGTGAGATCCCTGTTTTAGTAAAGAGGATGTTGATGAGAGAGAGTGAGCTACAAACCCAAAGGAACCCACCTAGCCGGAGATGGAGTTGAGAGTCAAATCTCAGTTGTCATGATCCACTGTCTATGGCTTCTCAACTACTAGGCCAAACTACATCTCTTCATAAAAGTATGGGCAGATCCCACCTTCCTAAGGACTAATTTTAAAGCTACCGGTATAAACTAGTTTTGCCACTATCTGTTATTGACCATCCAGGCTGCCCTATAACGATGTTGAGAGCGTGCAAAGCAGGACAAACTTGACAGTGAGATGCAGCAGGAGAGGGAGGCTCTGCACTTCATTTGTCCTTGGCCTCTCTCAGGTTGCACATCACGTGGACACTTAGGGTCTATGTCTGCTGGCTATGGGGCTGCTATAGGGGTTATGGTTGTTGAAGAACCCTCACAACAGAAACCAGGAGATGAATTGCCAAGCCTGATGCTGGAAGGAGACAGGGCAGAGACTCATGTATCTATAGCCATTGAGAGCTCAATGGTGGCAGGTCCAGCAAAAGGGAGATATCTCCTGAGCCAAAGGGAGTATCGCCGGAGCCCAAAGAAGTGACGACTGGTTCAGAACTACAGATTTAACACGTGAGGCAGGCCCAGCTGCAGACAGCAGCCCAGAGCATGTGCTGCCAGCATGCTCCTGAAAACCAGCCCAAGGCCAGGAGAGTCCCTTTCCTCAGGTCAGAGAAACGTGCAGCCACCTTCCCACATATCCAATTCCATCTTAAGGAGAAAAGCAAGGAAGGAGAGAGGAGACACGAGAGACAGAAATGCTATGCAAAGAAGATGAGCACAACCTAGAGCAGTGGTCGGCAAACCACGGCTCGCAAGCCACATGCGGCTCTTTGGCCCCTTGAGTGTGGCTCTTCCACATAATACCACGTGTGGGCGTGCACGTACAGTGCAATTGAAACTTCGTGGCCCATGCGCAGAAGTCGGTATTTTGGGGAAGAGCCACACTCAAGAGGCCAAAGAGCCGCATGTGGCTCGCAAGCCGCAGTTTGCCGAGCCGCAGTTTGCCGACCACTGAGAGGAACCATGTAACCTTTAAAGAAGATTAAACTTTTAATCACACAAGAGTAAAAGTACCTTTTCACCTTCCACAAACAGCTAATCGACTGTGGGATAATGATCAGATCAGTTATGGTTAAAGAAAAAAAAAGTTAATTTTTTTTGCTCATTCAACATGCAGTGTAATTTACACCGACACCCCTGTACATTAGACTAATAAAGAACCACTTTTTCCAGGTCCGGCACCTATATTATCTCATTTAATTCTCAAACAACC